AAAGGGAGAAAGGGATAAAAAGGAGAGAGGGTTTAACCGGAGGGGGTGGGGGGACAAAGAGGAGACTGTACTCTTCAAAAATGTAAAGTCACAAAAGCAATGAGAGCCTGTGGAAATGTTCCAAATTAGAAGAAACTAAATATATGTAGGGTGTCCCCAAAAAATGTATACACACACTTTGAGTAACTATGAAGGCAGTGCTTATTCAAATGTACTTCTTTTCAAAATTGAGCTATCAACTGTTAAAGTGAGTATACATTTTTGGAGAATATATATGTAATACATATACATATACATATACATATACTTGTACATCGACATGACTGACACATATTTACCGTCAAACATTTCAGAAAAACTGAAGGGAACACACAAACAAGAAAGAAAATTTCAGTAATAGGTCAATAGGTATACCTATGGGGTTTTTTGTACTATTCTTATCCTTACTGTTTCCAAATTTAAAAAAAATGTTTTCATGATTAGAGGGGAAGAGATTGATTACAAAAGGGCATGGGGAAGTTTTGGGGATGATGGTAATGTTTCATATCATTATTGTACTAATGTTCACACAACTGTTCATATTTGTCAGGACATCAAATTGCACACTTAAATTAGTGACTTTCACTATTGTAAATCATACCTCAATGCCCCTTCTTTGAAAAGGTACAAAGGGTAAAAGTCCATTATCTGAAAGGTGGTGCATTCGTTTAAAGGGAGGAAGAAGAGGGAGGACTTGCATTGGTCGTGTGAGAGGATCCGGGGACAGCTACGTCATGGGTGGAAGAGGCTATCTGGTGAGGTTGGTTTATTGCACCCAGAACGGACATAAGCCCCAGATAAAGTTTCATGGTCTCCCCTTTCTGAAGCATATTATGGCACAAAAAATTAAGCATTTTTGCATTAATATTTATTTTGTAGTGAACATATTCACATAAATGGTGAAGATAAAACACTAAAACCAAATGAAATCTGCCCCCAAGAGGCCCTTCACATGACCCCAGATCCTGAGAACACCACTTACTGTCCTCAAACGTTTCTCTTGGGAGGCAGGGAGAAGTCTGCATGTCCTACACAAGCCCCGCATGTGGCTGGCATCAGCATCCCCCCTTCCCATCTTTCAAGGCCCTACTCAGAGGACCCCTCCCTCCCTCTTTTACTCCTTGTAGTCTCTTATGACCACCTTCCTCATAACAGTTGTGAAAAGACAACTCCCACTCAGCTTGGAAATGATCCCAGCTTGGAGCACCGTGCCTGGCACTTTGGAAAAGCGTGCTGGATTAAACTTAGCCAAGAGGAAGGAACGTGGGCACACTTACCATTTCCTTCCTTTTCCTCTTCACAGAGGCAGAAAATTCTATCACCTTCTACTGAGAAACCCATACTATCTCACCATTCCCTCTAATAGACTTCCAGGCCACAAACATGACAGCTCTAAAATGGGATTCTGTTGTAACCAATGCAATAAAACTTCCTGGGACTCAGACTGTCAACTCTGGTGCAAGTACAAAGAGAGACTTGATATTTATAATGAGCTTATGGCTCAAAACAAATAAAACAAAACAACAAAACAATGAGGGAGACTCAAAGCAAGACATTTCTGTCAAAGTACAACCAGGACTATAAAGGCTAACTGCTAAGTTACCTACAACTGGTCAACTAAAATGGAAAGTAACACCACCCTGGTGCCTTAAAGAGCTTGAAAATGGAGCAATGATAGCAGACACTTACCAAGCATTCATTGCCAGGCAAAGCCAGGAAAAGTCAGTCCACAGCTAAGAAAGGGGAGAGCCAGGATTTGAACACAAACAGCCTGGCTTAAGAACCTCCATTTCTAACTCCTATCCTATATAATAAAAGGCTAATAGGCAAATCGACTTAACTGCAGAACGACCGGTCGCTATGATGCTCACTGACCACCAGGAGGCAGACACTCAACGCAGGAGCTGCCCCCTGGTGGTCAGTGCGCTCCCACAGGAGGAGTGCTGCTCAGCCAGACGCTGGGCACAGCAGTGGTGGTGGGAGCCTCTCCCTCCTCCTCCAGCAGCGCTAAGGGTGTCCGACTGATGGCAAGGAGCGGGCCTAAGTCATCAGTCGGACATCCCTGACTGTGAGAGGGCTCAGGCCAGGCTGAGGGACACCCTCCCCCCACCCCCGCCCCAGTGTACAAATTTCGTGCACTGGGCCTCTAGTACCAACATAAGTTCAATTTCAATGCCCCAGTGAACGTTCCTTCAGACATTTCCAACGTGAGGGCTACATCCAAAATTAAGTCTCAACCTGATCAACATTTCACCAAGCCTCATTTAAAATCAATAGAAGATCACATTTCTCCTCATTTCATTGCTTTTGTCCTGATACTTTCTCCTGACACTGAAGAGTACTTATCAGAGTTCTTATCCAAACTCCTTTTTGTCCTCCTTTCATCTGAGGGACTGATAAGGATTTTCTTTCTACTAAAGTCCAGCATCTTCTTTATTTCTGACCTCCTTCCTCTGAGAGAGCATCGCGCTGGCAACTTGCAATTAATAGCCCTAACCAGACAACAGCTTTTATCTTTCCTATGGACTGACCCAATCACCTGGGAATCTTTTCAAAATCTTGATTTCTGGGCCTCATCCTCTAGAAATTCTGTTTCTTTGTTACTAATGTTGTGGCCCCACCCCATAACAAAGAAACAGAATTTCCAGAGGATGAGGCCCAGAAATCAGGATCTTAAAGATTCCCAGGTGATTCTAATGTGCAGGCAAAGTTGAGAACCACTGGCATAGAGCTTTCCCTGCCTCCCGTGTTTTCTGAGTCATTGATTCCTCCTTTGTTTTGAGAAGAAAAAAAAAGGAAGTGTGCCCTATTCCCTTAAAGACTGAAGGAAATCAGAGGTTTTAAAGTCCATCCTTTGGGGGTTCTGGACAGCTCCATGTGGTGTGGAAACTATTTCTAGTTGTTTCTGAGTGATTGGCACTGACTCAAGGAGGTAGTCACAGCGGGGCCTGGTAAAAATGGAGGTTCTGGGAGGTCAGGCAGTCCTGCCTCAAGGGGACAGGAACAGGGTTGGGGCAAGGGCCAGGGAGATGGAGAAGGATTCTAGTCACCAGGATTAAATTTGACTTCCGGGGCAAACAATTTATCTGCATACATCCTTCCCCTAGTTTGAGTGTGAACATAAGCATTTTCCTTCAAACAAATGGGCTTACAGGCAGTACAGTACAACTCAGCTTACCGCTTCATTTTTCACACAGAGAGCCAGCATTTGCCAAGCGCCCGGTATATTCCAGACCCTGTACTTCACACACGGACACAAAGCAAAATGCATCAAAATGAAAGAGGGTTCAGCCTGTCCTTGTATGCCCACCTCTATCATCTGTGGGGCCTGGGGCAAAAGTACAAATGGAGGCCCTGTAATTACTACTTTAAAGGGCTAATCAAGCTAGCAAACTGGCACATAATCCTCCACCCTTGACAAATCTAGCTTTATAACCACCTGGAGTCCAGGTAGGTACAGTTCAGAATTCTCGGAGCCCTCAGAGTTGCAGGACAGACTGGAAAGAACAGCGCTGGCCAATGAACAGATGCCTTCCCTTCCCCACCCAGGCTCTGTATGGCCCCAGGGAGGCCTCAGCACACATTTGCAAGCTATTCCACAACCCCACACAGCACAGCTGCCCCTGTGGGCACTCCTCAGGGATGGAGTCTGCCCTCTCTGCTTGAAAAGGCCCTGAAGACAAGCTTGGGGACTGGGGGCAGGGAATTCCATCAGTGTCTGGGGCTTGAAGGTCAGTGAGGACTCAGCTTGGTGGGGAGGGGCACAGCTGGGGAAGGTCAGACCCTGCCCTCTAATCCGGGGCAGCAGGAGTAAGGGGTTTCCTTGCGCAGGACCAAAGCACACTGACTATAAAACCTTCTCTATTTTACTCTAACTGGGTCGACTTTTTTTTCCTTAAGGCTTTCTGGGAGGGAGACTCCTTATATCAAACACACACTCACGCGCACTCACTGGTATAAAGAGAATTTCTGTATGGAATGTATGAAATTAAAAAAGCTGAAATACTTGCAGCTGCTCTAGAGAGATTTGGCAGCTGAAACACTGGTCTGAAAGAAAGAAAAGGTAAATATTCCTCAAAAAGCAAATGGATTGAACAGAATTCTAGAAAGTCAGAAAGATAGGGTCCTTGTCCTAGGGCATAAATTGGGCAAACCTTAAACGTTTCTTTCTGCTTTTGGAAATGTCCCCTACCTAAAGCGGGAGACCCCTCCCAAAAAAAATAAAAATAAAAAACTAGATGAACTAGCAGAAGCACCTGGGACCACAAAGTCAGAATCCTAGGAACCACTGCCCTGAGTCAACTGGGCAGGGAGTTTGGGGTGGGCTGCAAACAGAGAAGCCTCCCAGAGAGCCAATAGTGGGAAGGGAGGGGGGCACAGTGGTGGGAGGGGGAACCAGTCGGGCGAGTGGCCAGGACCTGGGCTTCACCACTGACCTGGTGTCTGCTTTGCCTTTTCTTGGTCAAGTCAATTTGCCAACTTTCTGCGCCTTCGTTTGTAATTCTCTAAATGGGGGTATCTGCACGCATCACTTGGCGGTGGTGCCCATAAGAACTCCGCTCAATCCCTCACTTGGTAACCGCTCAGTCAACGGGTCCTTATTTAGACCTGAGAGCGCAGGGGCCAGCGCTAGAGCTGAACCCAAGCTGTGGATCAGGCAGCTCCCCGCCACCGACCCGACCTGCACATCCAGGATGAGTGTCTGCAGAATCCTCCCCTGGAGGCGGAGGGGTGGGGAGGTCGAGGCTTCAGGGACAGAGGCAAACCAACCAGAACAGCTGGGGAAAGAAAGGCACACACAGGTCAAGTGTTTCGTCTCAAGCCTGTTTGGGAGTAGTCGAAAGTCACCGGGTTGGAGGTGCAAAGGGCCGGCGTCTAAGACGACTTGTCAGCCCCTGGGATTGGAGGAAGCCGCGCCGCACACCGCTGGGCGCGGGCCGGGCAGGGAAGGTGTCACTCACCCAGCAGCAGCAGCTTGAGCTCGCGGCGCGCGTCCTTCTTGTCCCGGCGCAGCTGCCGCTCGATCTCCGCGCTGATGCGCTGCGAC